GTGTGTGTGTGTGTGTGTGTGTGTGTGTGTGTGTGTGTGTGTGTGTGTGTGTGTGTGTGTGTGTGTGTGTGTGTGTGTGTGTGTCAGGTTCTTTGGCAGTCGGCGTCAGTGGGATTGTCGAGGAGCTTCAAACTTAGACGTCCTTCATGATGAACTGAGTCAGATCATGATCCGTCGCCTGAAGCAGGACGTCCTGCAGCAGCTGCCCCCGAAAGTCCGACAGAGGATCTGCTTCGACCTGCCCCCGGAGGCAGCAAAGGTACACTGCCCCCACAGGCAGCAAAGGTACACTGCCCCCGGAGGCAGCACAGGTACACTGCCCCCGGAGGCAGCACAGGTACACTGCCCCCGGAGGCAGCACAGGTACACTGCCCCCGGAGGCAGCAAAGGTACACTGCCCCCGGAGGCAGCACAGGTACACTGCCCCCGGAGGCAGCACAGGTACACTGCCCCCACAGGCAGCACAGTCTATGCTACAGCTGCAGAGTCTGCTTTTGTTAATCATATAAATAATAATAATGCATTGGTTTTATACAGAGCACAGCAGCAGGACATTAGTCTGGTCTCTCTCTCTGTCTCTGGTCTCTCTCTCTGGTCTCTCTCTCTGGTCTCTCTCTGGTCTCTCTCTGTCTCTCTCTCTGTCTCTGGTCTCTCTCTCTGGTCTCTCTCTCTGGTCTCTCTCTCTGTCTCTGGTCTCTCTCTCTGGTCTCTCTCTGTCTCTGGTCTCTCTCTGGTCTCTCTCTCTGTCTCTGGTCTCTCTCTCTGGTCTCTCTCTCTGGTCTCTCTCTCTGTCTCTGGTCTCTCTCTCTGGTCTCTCTCTCTGGTCTCTCTCTGGTCTCTCTCTGTAGTCTCTCTCTGGTCTCTCTCTGGTCTCTCTCTGGTCTCTCTCCGGTCTCTCTCTCTAGTCTCTCTCTGGTCTCTCTGGTCTCTCTCTGGTCTCTCTCTGGTCTCTCTCTCTGGTCTCTCTCTGGTCTCTCTCTGGTCTCTCCCTGGTCTCGCTCTTGTCTCTCTCTGGTCTCTCTCTGGTCTCTCTCTGGTCTCTCTCTCTGGTCTCTCTCTCTGGTCTCTCTCTCTGGTCTCTCTCTGGTCTCTCTCTGGTCTCTCTGGTCTCGCTCTGGTCTCTCTCTGGTCTCTCTCTGGTCTCTCTCTGGTCTCTCTCCTTTCACTGAGACCGTTCTGATGATGAACGACGGAGAAAAAAGCTCCTGCTGTGATTTTAATTCACTTCTTTTTTAGCTCAGACTAATTTGGATTTGCAGAAACACAGACTGTGAGAAATGTCCACAAAGCTACAGTTTATAAATATACAGTGCCTTGCGAAAGTATTCGGCCCCCTTGAACCTTTCAACATTTCGCCACATTTCAGGCTTCAAACATAAAGATATAACATTTTAATTTTTTGTCATGAATCAACAACAAGTGGGACACAATCGTGAAGTGGAACGAAATTTATTGGATAATTTAAACTTTTTTAATAAATAAAAAACTGAAAAGTGCAATATTATTGGGCCCCTTTACTTTCAGTGCAGCAAACTCAGTCCAGAAGTTCAGTGAGGATCTTTGAATGATCCAATGTTGTCCTAAATGACTGATGATGATAAATAGAATGCACCTGTGTGTAATCAAGTCTCCGTATAAATGCACCTGCTCTTTGATAGTCTCAGGGTTCTGTTTAAAGCACAGAGAGAACCATGAAGACAAAGGAACACACCAGGCAGGTCCGAGATACTGTTGTGGAGAAGTTTAAAGCCGGATTTGGATACAAAAAGATTTCCCAAGCTTTAAACATCTCAAGGAGCACTGTGCAAGCAATTATATTGAAATGGAAGGAGTATCAGACCACTGCAAATCTACCAAGACCCGGCCGTCCCTCCAAACTTTCATCTCAAACAAGGAGAAGACTGATCAGAGATGCAGCCAAGAGGCCCATGATCACTCTGGATGAACTGCAGATAACTACAGCTGAGGTGGGGATGGTGTGTTCAGGGTGATGAACTGTGTTGCTTTTACGACAAACATATCGTTTTGCATTGTGGCCAAAAAGTTTGATTTTGGTTTCATCTGACCAGAGCACCTTCTTCCACATGTTTGGTGTGTCTCCCAGGTGGCTTGTGGCAAACTTTAAACCAGACTTTTTATGGATATCTTTGAGAAATGGCTTTCTTCTTGCCACTCTTCCATAAAGGCCAGATTTGTGCAGTGCACGACTGATTGTTGTCCTATGGACAGACTCTCCCACCTCAGCTGTAGTTATCTGCAGTTCATCCAGAGTGATCATGGGCCTCTTGGCTGCATCTCTGATCAGTCTTTATCAGTCTAGACTAAAGTCTAGACTTTATTATAGAGTGATAGTTCTATCCTCCTGTTCTGTACTCGGTGATGCAGCACCTCCTCCTGTTCTGTACTCGGTGATGCAGCACCTCCTCCTGTTCTGTACTCGGTGATGCAGCACCTCCTCCTGTTCTGTACTCGGTGATGCAGCACCTCCTCCTGTTCTGTACTCGGTGATGCAGCACCTCCTCCTGTTAACTTACAGAAGGTAGATCCTGATAATTGCCCCAAAAAAGATCCTTTTCTCACAGATATTTGCTTCTGGCGGCGGTTACCTCTGGACAATAACGGCCATTACTGCTGCTTTTGTTTGGAGTTAGAATCCTATCGTCGCAGCAGAAGAAGAAGAGAGCGTTTTCGCCTAATTACACACAAAGCCTGCGTCTGGAAAATGACACGCAAATAAAGGAAACAAAAAGTGATGATACGGGATTTTCCGGCACAATCTCCCTAAATGTTAAGGCCGGCGTTAATTGGACGACTAAATATGGTCGTGTTCCTCCACACGGCTCCAATTAGACCCAGGGAGAGGTCCACGTCACTGTCTGTTATCTGCAACGAGCTGAACCAGCAACGAGCTGAACCAGCAACGAGCTGAACCAGCAACGAGCTGAACCAGCAACGAGCTGAACCAGCAACGAGCTGAACCAGCAACGAGCTGAACCAGCAACCTCGGCCCAGGACCTCGTTTGTCTCCGGGCCCAGACAATAAAGGCGTCCGCGGATCGCCGGGCTTTTGAATTTATGTTTTTTGTGGTTTTGGTGATGAGGGGGGGAGGAGGGGGGGGAGGGAGGGAGGGGGGAGGAGGGGGGGGGTGGGGGGGGGAAGGGGGGAGGACGTGTCATCGTAAATGGAGGGCTTTGGGAGACTATTGTTGTGAGGACAGACAGGCGCTCAGAGCTCGCTGCTGTAAAGAGCTTTTCAGATTCTCCCGTTTAATGTAAGCACCAGAAACACCAGAAACACCAGAAACACCAGAAATACCAGAAATACCAGAAGCACCAGAAGCACCAGAAGCACCAGAAACACCAGAAGCACCAGAAGCACCAGAAACACCAGAAGCACCAGAAACACCAGAAGCACCAGAAATACCAGAAATACCAGAAGCACCAGAAACACCAGAAACACCAGAAACACCAGAACACCAGAAACACCAGAAACACCAGAACACCAGAAACACCAGAAACACCAGAAACACCAGACACACCAGAAACACCAGAAACACCAGAAGCACCAGAAGCACCAGAAACACCAGAAGCACCAGAAGCACCAGAAGCACCAGGAGCACCAGAAGCACCAGAAGCACCAGACTCACTCTCTCTCTGGTGCTGGTCTCTCTCTCTCTCTGGTGCTGGTCTCTCTCTCTCTCTCTGGTGCTGGTCTCTCTCTCTCTCTCTGGTGCTGGTCTCTCTCTCTCTCTCTGGTGCTGGTCTCTCTCTCTCTCTCTGGTGCTGGTCTCTCTCTCTCTCTGGTGCTGGTCTCTCTCTCTCTCTCTGGTGCTGGTCTCTCTCTCTCTCTCTGGTGCTGGTCTCTCTCTCTCTCTCTGGTGCTGGTCTCTCTCTCTCTCTCTGGTGCTGGTCTCTCTCTCTCTCTGGTGCTGGTCTCTCTCTCTCTCTGGTGCTGGTCTCTCTCTGGTGCTGGTCTCTCTCTCTCTGGTGCTGGTCTCTCTCTCTCTCTGGTGCTGGTCTCTCTCTCTCTCTGGTGCTGGTCTCTCTCTCTCTCTCTGGTGCTGGTCTCTCTCTCTCTCTGGTGCTGGTCTCTCTCTCTGTCTCTGGTGCTGGTCTCTCTCTCTCTCTCTGGTGCTGGTCTCTCTCTCTCTCTGGTGCTGGTCTCTCTCTCTCTCTCTGGTGCTGGTCTCTCTCTCTCTCTCTGGTGCTGGTCTCTCTCTCTCTCTCTGGTGCTGGTCTCTCTCTCTCTCTCTGGTGCTGGTCTCTCTCTCTCTCTGGTGCTGGTCTCTCTCTCTCTCTCTGGTGCTGGTCTCTCTCTCTCTCTCTGGTGCTGGTCTCTCTCTCTCTCTGGTGCTGGTCTCTCTCTCTCTCTCTGGTGCTGGTCTCTCTCTGGTGCTGGTCTCTCTCTCTCTCTCTGGTGCTGGTCTCTCTCTGGTGCTGGTCTCTCTCTGCAGTCAGAGCTGTATCGGACCGTTGTGGTAAAGAGGGAGCAGCGTCTGCCGTCAGAGCTGTATCGGACCGTTGTGGTAAAGAGGGAGCAGCGTCTGCAGTCAGAGCTGTATCGGACCGTTGTGGTGAAGAGGGAGCAGCGTCTGCAGTCAGAGCTGTATCGGACCGTTGTGGTGAAGAGGGAGCAGCGTCTGCAGTCAGAGCTGTATCGGACCGTTGTGGTGAAGAGGGAGCAGCGTCTGCAGTCAGAGCTGTATCGGACTGTTGTGGTAAAGAGGGAGCAGCGTCTGCAGTCAGAGCTGTATCGGACCGTTGTGGTAAAGAGGGAGCAGCGTGTGCAGTCAGAGCTGTATCGGACCGTTGTGGTGAAGAGGGAGCAGCGTCTGCAGTCAGAGCTCCCTCACCTATGGTCATGAGCTTTGGGTAATGACCGAAAGAACAAGATCGCGGATACAAGCGGTTGAAATGAGCTTCCTCCGCAGAGTGGCTGCTCCCTTAGAGATAGGGTGAGGAGCTCGGTCACACGGGAGGAGCTCGGAGTAGAGCCGCTGCTCCCTTAGAGATAGGGTGAGGAGCTCGGTCACACGGGAGGAGCTCGGAGTAGAGCCGCTGCTCCCTTAGAGATAGGGTGAGGAGCTCAGTCACACGGGAGGAGCTCGGAGTAGAGCCGCTGCTCCCTTAGAGATAGGATGAGAAGCTCGGTCACACGGGAGGAGCTCGGAGTAGAGCCGCTGCTCCCTTAGAGATAGGGTGAGGAGCTCAGTCACACGGGAGGAGCTCGGAGTAGAGCCGCTGCTTCTCCACGTCGAGAGGAACCAGTTGAGGTGGCTCGGGCATCTGTTCCGGATGCCTCCTGGACGCCTCCCTGGGGCGTCCCACCGGGAGGAGGCCCCGGGGAAGACCCAGGACACGCTGGAGGGACTATGTCTCTCAGCTGGCCTGGGAACGCCTTGGAGTCCCCCCGGACGAGCTGGAGGAAGTGTGTGTGGATAGGGAAGTCTGGGCGTCTCTGCTTAGACTGCTGCCCCCGCGACCCGGCAACGGATGAAGCGGAAGAAAATGGACACATGGACATATGAAAAACTGTGTTATTAATCATATTTGAAATTTAATATTGGTTTTGTTTGTTAAGAAAGAACTTCCAGAATCAGAATTGTGTCCCATTGAGTCTCTAGTCAGTCCGGATCCTGGTCCTGGTCCTGATCCTGGTCCTGATCCTGGTCCTGATCCTGGTCTTGCTGAACACTGGGACTCAGAGCAGTCAATTTGACGGCTTTTGGTTTTGGAAGCTTCGTTATTCGGCTCGTGGGACTTTGTTTGTGTTTGTACAAACTTTGTTTGTGTTTGTATTCACTCCTTGACTGCACCTGACTGGTCCTAGACTGGTCCTGGGCTGGGTCTAGACTGGTCCTAGACTGGTCCTGGGCTGGGTCTAGACTGGTCCTGGTCCTGGATTGGTCCTGGTCCTAAACTGGTCTTGAATTGGTCCTAGTCTGGGTCTAGTCTGGTCCTGGTCCTAGACTGGTCCTGGGTTGGTCCTAGTCTGGGTCCAGTCTGGTCCTGGGCTGGGTCTAGACTGGTCCTGGTCCTGGATTGGTTCTGGTTCAGCTTGTTGTTCCCCCAGAGCTGAGTGAGTGAGTGCTAGCTTTCATAGCAACACACTGGTTACTATCAGCCTTGGACAGTTAGCATTAGCATTAGCATTAGCATTAGCTCTTAGTTTGCAGCAGTAGTAGCAGTAGGAGCAGTAGTAGGAGCAGTAGGAGCAGTAGTAGGAGTAGTAGGAGCAGTAGGAGCAGCAGTAGGAGCAGCAGGAGCAGTAGTAGGAGCAGCAGTAGGAGCAGTAGTAGGAAGTAGTAGGAGGCAGCAGTAGGAGCAGCAGTAGGAGCAGCAGTAGGAGCAGCAGTAGCAGCAGCAGTAGCAGCAGCAGGAGCAGCAGTGGAGCAGCAGTTAGGAGCAGCAGTAGGAGCAGCAGTAGGAGCAGTAGTAGGAGCAGTAGGAGCAGCCAGTAGGAGCAGCAGTAGGAGCAGTAGGAGCAGCAGTAGCAGCAGTAGGAGCAGTAGGAGCAGCAGTAGGAGCAGCAGTAGGAGCAGCAGTAGGAGCAGCAGTAGTAGGAGCAGCAGCAGTAGGAGCAGCAGTAGGAGCAGCAGTAGCAGCAGCAGTAGCAGCAGCAGGAGCAGCAGTAGGAGCAGCAGTAGGAGCAGCAGTAGGAGCAGCAGTAGGAGCAGTAGTAGGAGCAGTAGGAGCAGCAGTAGGAGCAGCAGTAGGAGCAGTAGGAGCAGCAGTAGCAGCAGTAGGAGCAGTAGGAGCAGCAGTAGGAGCAGCAGTAGGAGCAGCAGTAGGAGCAGCAGTAGTAGGAGCAGCAGCAGTAGGAGCAGCAGTAGGAGCAGTAGGAGCAGCAGTAGGAGCAGCAGTAGGAGCAGCAGTAGGAGCAGTAGGAGCAGCAGTAGGAGCAGCAGCAGGTACCAGTTGTTTTCATTCATTCATTTTCAAACCCCTTTATTAACCCATTTCTGGGTCGGGCGGTGACAGTCAGAGCTGTGATCCTCTGCAGGAGGATCTCATGAATGAATGTTATTATATTATTATATTATTATTATATTATTATATTATATTTATATGATATTATATTATGACTTTTAATTGTTTTTTTTTTTACAGCAGTGACATCAACTTTGTAACAAATAAAAAGTTCATCTGAGACAGAAACACACTCAACTGTGACTATACACACATATATACATACACACACACACATATATATACATACACACACATATATATACATACTACACACATATATACATACACACACATATATACATAACACACACATATATATAACATACACACACATATATACATACACACACCCACACATATATACATACACACATATATACATACACACACACATATATACATACACACACACATATATACATACACCACAACATACTATACATACACACATATATACATACACACATATATACATACACACACACATATATACATACACACACATATATACATACACACACACATATA